ATCCGGTTTTTATGTTTTGTATGTATCTTGAAAGAAGTGCAAAATCAAGAAATGCAAAAGAATCGAAGTTGAAAATTTGTTCAGATTGGTGTGAGGTGGAACTCGGTAGGCAGCAGATTTTCATGGGTGGGAAAACACACGCGAATGTGTGGCATGAGAAGTTGAAATTTAAAGTTTGGTTATCTTCAGGATTCTTTCAAGAACATTTCCCTAGTCATTTTACTTCTATAATGCATGCTTTGCCACTTCAAGAGTATATTAATCCAGTGGCAGGGGTACTAAATTTGGCAGCAAATATGCCACCAGAAAGTCAAAAGACGGATTTGGGTCCGTTTGTTTATATTTCATATGGTAGACCCGAAGATGTTATGGGGGGTGATTTTTTAACGAAGTTATGTTATCATGCATATGATATGGTATGTATCTAACGTTGTGTTGTGTTTGTTACATGGGAAAGGGATGGGTTATTTTTTATTGATGAGGATGAGAAGGGCATTTTAGTCTTTTACATAGATGAGAGATAGAGAGCGATTCCTTGTCCCACCTTTTTGCATGGGACAAGAAATCTGGTTTTGGGTGGACAAAAAGTTGGTTTTTTTTGTTCCATTGACATCGGTATTGGTCCCATTTTACCTTTTTGAGTGGGAAAAGAACAATTACCTTTTCTGGGTGAGACAAAAAGTTGTAACTTTTGTCCCATTGATATTGGGTCCCACCTTTTTGGGTGGGACAAAAAAAATGCAACTTTTGTCTTATTATCTTTTTGGGTGGGACAAAAGGTTTCAGCTTTTGTCCCACCACTTGTTTTGGGTGGGATAAAGAATTGTAACTTTTGTGCCATTGACAAGAGTTCTAATCCCACCTTTTTGGGTAGTACAATAAATATTGAATTATAATTTTTTTTTTTGGTTTAGGTTAATATTCTTGTGCATGCTACGGAACTTCCAATATCTGAGAAAAAGCTCAATAAAGTAAAGGTCTTGTTGGACAAGTATTCACAAGATCATAATGAGACACCAAAGAAGAATAAAACCAAGAACAAAGTTGATGAACCATGTGGGAAATCATCATTTAGTAGTGAAGTAACTCAACAATCAGAGATGGAGGACAACACAAATGAAGAACTCACTCAAATACCCAAAGTTGACCCGGTTGACCCATGTGTGTTTTCTGATGATGATTCAAGCATTGGTGATTCGGATGATGAAGATATGTTTGAAGAAGAGTTTGGAAGTCCAAGGGGTAGCAAAGAGGAAATTGTTGACACTCGTGGGGCCCAATGGGATGTTTTTCGTAGACAAGATGTTTCAAAGCTTGTTGAGTTTCTTAGAAAGTATTCCAAAGAGCTTAACACATCCTCTTGCTCACCTAAAAAGGTATCCTTTTTCTTTGCTACATTTTGACTTAATGCATAAAGAATGACTTAATAGAGAAACTTACATAAAAGTGACTTTTCAATTTTCCCATCAAGTCCTAACTTTTTACAAATTTGCACTCATAAACTTTCTCTTCCATATAGGTTGTTCATCCGATTCTTGATGAGAGCTTCTACTTGGATGCTTTTCATAAGAAGTATCTCAAGGAAGAATTCGGTAAGTTTTATCCTCACACCTTCTTGTAACTTATAGTTTCTAAAACATTTATAAAACAGGGTTAAATTCTATTTCCTTCATTGTGTTTTTACTAATACAATTTAAACAGATGTGGAACCATGGACATTTGAACAACGTATTGGTGAAGCTGTCATCATTCCAGCTGGATGCCCCTATCAAGTAAAGAAAATTAAGGTATGATTCTTTTGTTTGTCATAGGTTAAAATATAGAAAAGCACTTGAACTTTTGCCATTATATATCGATTTATCCACTTAAGTGTTTAATCATTTATACTTATTTCAATTTGGATAAGTTGTTGAATCATGTAAACACTATATGTTTAGTTTTTTGTTTCATGCAACCATTATCATATGCTTGTGTGAATCTTTTTGTTGATCCTAAGGAATCTTGATGCAGTCATGTGTTAATGTGGTTCTTGAATTCATCTCACCTGAAAGTGCATCCATGGGCATCAAGTTGAGTGATGAAATCCGTCAACTTCCAGTAAATCACAAAGCAAAAGGAAAAATGCTGGAGGTATATATAATTATATTATCATATCTCAATAGTTAATGTTCTTATTTGTAGTTTTTTTTTTTTTTTGAAATGACATGTGACTAATTCTAAAATTGTTTTTTAGGTCAAGAAAATGACTATTCATAGTGTAAATGCTGCAGTTGAAGAAATCAGGAAAGTATCACAAGCAAAGTAAGGACTCTTCTTTTTTCCTTTTTAGTGTTGTTTGGTTAAATGTTGTTTAAAAAATATTTGAGAAAATGATGAGAGAGTTCAGGAAATGGAAGGAATAAAAAACAACAAAGGGTAAATTTGTAAAAAGATTAGGACTTAATGTGGAAAACCTACATTAAGACATTCTTTCTGCATTAATACCAGTTAAGAGTCTCTTAACAACATGAATTCTACTTTGTATTATTTGTATGTTAGATTTTTAAGTTTTGTGTTAATCTGTTATTAATGCATATTAACATTTTTGTCTTTATTGGTTGATGCATTCATTTTAAAGTAGATTCATGAACCCTGTGTTAGATAGAATCTCATTTTTAGGGGTGTTTGGATGTACATTTTGAAACCGATTATAATAATAAGAATAAATATGTTGTTTTACATTAATTTAAGTTAAATGACTAAATCGATAAAAAATATATATTCAGTTTATATTCACCTGGACTTTTCCTAACTCAATCTTTGACTTCTTTTCAATTCCAGAATTAGTGACAAAGTAGAGGAGTAGAGATCAAGAGTTACTAATGAACTTGGCATATGATCAAATCTCACCATGTGATGTAAGTAGCAAAAAACATATTTCTTGTTATTTTCTTTAACAAAATTTAGTTTATGAAATCCCAATTTTTAAAACCAATAATACAAAATCTGCAGATATCAAAACGGGAGGATGATATTCAATGTTCATGATCAACTGTAGATCAATGGATTGTGCAGATGATACAAACATGGTATCATAACAAAAATGTTGCATTTAATGCTTTATGTTTATTTTGTGTATATATAGATTGGTTTTTGTAGTTTAGGGCCCATGTTTATATTAATATACTACATGTTTTTTATTCATGAGTCGTATCATGAAATATGATTACTTGTTTTGTTCCATAATAAAGTATCCACATTTATACTCCCTCTATCAAAATTTCTTGTTAATATCGAATTTGGGCTGAAAATGTTTCCTAATATTGTCATTCGTAGAACGTGTTTTCGATTAATAGTCACTCTTATAAAATCACATGTCGAGTCAAATGTTGCAAATGATTAAATGCAAGAAATTGCAAATGATTTCTTTATAAAGACATTGTATTTTGAAAAATCTACCCAAATTCTATTGTTATAATTGGGTAGAGTTTTCAAAGTATAATGTTGTAATAAGAGGAAATGAAAGTTGGATGCTGTAATAAACAAATCTATGTAAGTACATTGCTATCCTTGCATTTTATCCTATGAATTTTTACAATATTTTAAAGAAAACTTTTTTTTATCCATACAATTTTACATAAAAATCAAGTAGATTTATGTTTATTGTAGTTGAATAATCTCTTTCTTTGAACCTCAAAACCATCGGATACTTGTTATGGAACACATGTGAGTATTATATGCTAATCAAGTTTTGAACTAGTTTTGGATATACATAAACCTTTACTTGCTTTATTTGTAAATTGTAATAAATGTAGTTCATAACCTTAGCTAACATATGATTAATTTAAAGCATGGATACTCTAGCATATTACTTAGATAAATGCTAATTGGACATTAATCATCATTGTTGCATTTATGGTTGAATTGTTATGCTAAGTTAATCCATATTTGCTGCTAAATGTGAATACACATAAATGCAAAAAATTTATGCTAAGTTAATCCATATTTGTTCAAACTTTTTTTTCTTCTTCTTTGTTAAAGTTTAATCATTAATGGTAACATGTATTCTGTTCTCTAGTTTCATATAGGTTTCCAAATGGGTGTTTGGATTGCTTTTTTGAAGTGATTATTGCAACTTCAAGGATCAGAATCAGACTATCTTTCTAATTGAAATTAGGGATAGTTTGGTCATTTTGCATTTATCCTCAAAAAGCTGCTTTCTTTCTAATTTGTTTGGATGTGTCTTTTAACAATAACTTTGTGCTACTGAATAATTGGTTGTCAGAAAATGTAGTGTATGAGATTGCATTATCATACAATTGTAATAATCACTACTGATGGTATTAAGTGTTTGACAAATTGGGATTAATTAAGGAAGTAATACATAAAATTAGGGTATATGTTTGTAATTAAATATTGACCCTGAAAGTAATCAGATAATCATAACTTGAATTAATTTTGTGTTGTAGGTGGTGTTCTTGATTTGAATAATGGAGTTTGGAAGAAGGCAAGTGGGTTTTTGGCTTCAATTTGTTCTTGAAAAGAAATTTAAATTGAAGATGTTCTTGAGGACTCTGAATCAGGATGAAGATGAAGCTGGTGATCTGGAAATGAAGCTAAAAAATGGCAAAAAAAAAAAAATAGCCAAAAGGTATTACAAACATTATATTTAAAAAAAAAAAAAAGTCTACCCAATTACAGTATAATTTTATGTTCATTTTTTTTTTTTCTGTTAATACCATTATTGATACAGCATAATTTGCTATTGCAGATAACATGTCTCTTTGATCACAACCAAAGAAAACACAGGATTAATAACCCAACAGCTTCAACATGGACGCCATTTTTGTCCCCTCCATTGTTACTCTAGAGTTCTGATTCAACACTTTAGATGTGATATAAGTTTGTACAGTTGTACATTTGTATGTTTCTTAATGATATTTTTTATTTTTCAGTTCCATTCAATGTGTTTGTGTTTCTTTCTCTGTTCTATGAAACAATCTTTATTTATAACTCAAAAATTCATTGCTAGTATTTTTGCTTTCATAAACTCAAAAATTCATCTACAAAATTTTCAACAGTTGGAAAAAAGATTAAACCAATCAAAGATATCGTTTAAACAACTATGAACACTTTATGTTTCCAAAACTTTTTCTTTAAATCAAGTTTATGGGGCCATTAATCCTTCTATCGTGTAGGTTAGTGACTTTGCCCAATCTTCTTTTAACAACAATGTTTGTAGTGTATGCATAACATCATAATCCGGATCCAGCTTCCTTTGCCAACCCTACAATCGCAAAAAAAACAAGGGTATTCATGTCTATTCACGTAACAATAAAAGGGTTATTTGGTAATAAATATACCTCAAGAACCAAAGTTGTAACCATCACAGTGCAAACATTTCCATCAACATTGACTCGATGACGCCTTACTTGCTCCAACAACTGATGCATGCAATCAGCCGGGTGTACAATGTCGCCTTCTTCCGTACCCCAAAAGTCAAACGACTCTTTTACTTCCTATAATAGCAACATACTTTCATCTTTCACATTAAAAAAATTAAAAATTAAAATTATATTAAAAAGTTAAAATTATATATTGCCTTTATAAATGCTAGCGGATTAGGGCAATTCTGCTGTTTTGATAACCTCAACATGCTTTTTGCTGCAGTGTCACCATCTCGCCTGGCAACCGCTTTAAAAAACTCCAACAAATTCACTCTATCGCTTCCGGAAAGTTCCGCAGTCATTCCAACATCAAGAAACACAACATGTGGCTTTGATTTAAATATCCTTTTCCTCGATGATTTGTTTCGTACTAGAATATTCCCAGGATGCATGTCCGCATGTATGAAATTATCCACCTGAAAACACACCACAATATTAAAAAAACTACCAACAAAATTGATTATCAAAGGTCCGTCTAAAATTACAAATATACCCTTACTTACCAGAAGCATTTTGAGAAGTGCGTGGGTCCCGATATGAGCAAGCGAACTTTTAAGCCTCTCGTGTCCTTGAAGCTCATCAACATAAAACGCAACACTTTCACCTTGTTCAAAAGTTTCAACCAAAACAGCAGGATGTACAAGTGGATAAACAGGCTTTGGAAACGAAACATCTTTCCATCTTCTAAAATTGTAAATAAATCGACTCAAATGAGCAGCTTCACGTGCAAGATCCACTTGTGACATCATAAAAACAGCAAACTGTTGCACACTTTCATCTAACCTTAACCATTTCAAAGTTGGCAAAAACCCAGAAATTCTTGCAACAACATTAATTATCTCAAAATCTCTCCTAATCGATTCACCCACCCCCGGATGCCTAACTTTTACAGCCACCACTAACGGCTTCACCGTTTTTTTACCGTGTGATTTTAATTTTAATTTCGCCCGATGAATTTGAGCAATGCTTCCGGAAGCTACCGGAATCTCTTCAAAATCGTCAAATATCTCGTGAATTTTACGCCCAAAAGCTTTTTCAATTGTCTTTTTAGTGTACGCATAGGAATGTTCAGGGGCCTGTGTGTGAAGTTTTGAAAGTTCTGTGCATATGTCTCTAGGAAAAAGATCGGGCCTTGTTGCAGCCCATTGACCCCATTTTATAAAAGCGGGACCTGCTATTTCTAATGTCCTACGAACGAGTTTTAGCCATTTTTTTCTTGAGGAATCACCAAAGTATTCAGCGAATGGAGCTGTGGTTATGGTGGGGGAGAATAAAATTGCTAAATATAATGCGCGGATTAATAATATGAAACATTCAAAAATTGATAAGATTGATGAAACTAAAAGGGCGTGTCCATCTTCTATGTAAAGAGTGTTGTTTCTTGGTTGAAAAGATTCAAGATTTGTTCTGGTTTTTGCTAATGTTGTGTTTTTGTATAGTATTATACCAGGAATGACTATATAAGAGTGGGTTAGTGATAAAGTAAATGCTCGGGAGATTTTGAGTATGGGAGAAAGTGGTTTCTCATTGTGAAATGAACCAGGGGTATTTCGGGAAAAGAAAGTACGTTGTTTAGAAGGGAAAGTGGGTTGTGAGGAAAATAGAGCGACTTTATCGACTGATTTGTGGTTCCCATCTGTTGATTGGATTCTTGAGTTGTTTGTTCGAATTGATTGCACAATTCTTTTAATGTTTCTGAACCCCAAGAGCCTGTGTTGAAATAGTAAAGTCACTTTCAGATGATTATAGTATTGTAGTTTGAACAGTTTACTCAGATATAGAAGTGAAAGTAGGATGATATAAACATATAAATGAATGTAAGTTGTTCTTTCTTGTGTTTAACCCTAAAAGAATAGAGCATGTAGGTAGATAACTGTATAAGCAGATGTTTATGGCTAAGGAAACTTAGATGATTTTACATTTAATGAAATCATTATTTGATTGTGATTAACCAAGTGGTATTAATCATTTCAGGGATGCATGTTCAAGAACCTTATAAGTTGTTCTGAGAAGACGATGATGGTATTGCAAATTCTAGCTAAGAAACCTAGATGCAAAATTTTTACAAGACCATGAACTAAAATGGACTAAAGTGAAACCTCAGCCTAATAGCTAAGCAAAATATAGTCACAACGATGCTGCCATAGTTAAAAATGCAAGAACGTTTATGTTCTTAATGTCGGAGCTCTAATATAGAAACCCTAAATGTTTCAAGGCTCGAGATTTCGACAGCAATCTCTTCAATAATACATAACCCTAATGAAATGGAAGCAGGAAATAAGTAATTTGAATACAAAAATAAAAATAAAAGAACCTTGACATATCGAGAATGGAGTGGTTTTTTGTTACGATTCTCGTTGATCATTTTCTATAAATACTGCCGTAAATTCGACTCCAGTTGATCATCTGAACGCAAATTTAATTCAATCTTCGTTCTGCATCATCGTCAAGCTCCACTTGATTACAACAATGGGGGATTCAAGGCTGATTTTGATTTGGGATCTTAGGTTAGACGTGTTTTGATACGCTTTTTAGAGGAAACCTTTCCTTTGGCAATAAGATATTTTTGTACATGTAAAAGATCTTCCCAATATTAGGGATTAGAAATTAGAAATAGGTCAATGTGCAAATTAATTTTGATATGATACATAATGAATTCAAGATATAAATACCATAGTGTTTTTTACATTGTAGCACAACAATGTTTGACTAATTTGCATATTTAGTCATTAACGTTTTTTTATGCTCAATTGGTAATTAATGTTAGTAAATAACAACTTAAGGGATTAAGAGAAAATGTATCCGGTTTACGGGTTACTGTTGACGTGTCTTGGTTTACGGGTCACTCATTGAAACCATAAAGGATACATTCTTACCCCAAATTAGGTCACACCGATACAATCTACTCAATTGATATAACCAGAGCAATGCATGCCTCCTCCGGTCGATCGACCAACCTCCTGCGTGTCGGAATCCATCGTTATAATGAAGCATGCCCACCTTGTGACTGTAAAGATGGAATAAGCATCGAAAGGACTTCCTGGACTGACGACAACGTAACTCAAAGGTTTTGGAACTACAAAAACTTTTTGTTCAGTGTTCCTTTTGTTTAATTACACTCTCTTTGGTATCTTGAGTTGGAAATGTACACCTTTTCCTTAATTATAACCCTAATTGTCGTCTTCCTTTTTAATCAGCCAACTGAAGGTCCAAAATGTAAGTTTTTCTGTGGAAAGACGATGCAATGGAAGAGGGGTATTACAAAGAGTAGCTTTGTAAGATGAGGTTTGGGTTGCGCAGAAAGGAAGACTTCAATGAAGTTTTGAAGGCTAAAAAAAGGTGGTTATGATATAGCAAGCTATGGAAGCAGAGAAGGAAGTGTTTGAGAGACAGTTAAGGAAGAAAAACATTGTGATGAAGACTTACCTGGGAACTGCTAAGTGTGTGATCTTTGTTTTGTTCATTGCATTCATTGTGTAACACCCATAAAAATCAAGTCAATTTAAAACTACTTCAAACATCCAAAAGTCATTAGTTATTACAAAACGTTTTCAAAATACTTTAATATCAGAGTATCCCAGAAACCATAAGTCCAAATCACGAGGATGTGTACGGTCATGTCTTCGCCTTGCCGAGTCATCTGAAGCACCTGAAACAATAAATTGAAATCGTAAGCACAAAGCTTAGTGAGTTCCCCCAAAATACTCATACACACAACAATATACATATAATCACAAACAACATACTATGGGTCCAATCAACCGTCAGGTTGGAATACCTCAGGCCCTCAACTATCGAGTTGGAATGACAACATATTATGGGTCCAATCATCCATCAAGATGGAATACCCTATGCTCGTTGACTGACGGACGAAGCAACCCAGTCTCACCGTATACACTGAAAAATATGTTGGGTCCAATCAACCATTGGGTTGGAATACCCCAGACCCAATCAACCTCCGGGTCCAGTCATCGATCAGGATGAAATACCCTCGACCCACAACCATCAGGTTGGAATGCCCACGTACTACGAGTCCAATCATCATCGGGATGGAATACTCATGGCCCACAACCATTGGGTTGGAATGCCCATGTCTATTGGCTTTCGCACTAAGCAGATAATCCTTAACCACCAACCGATACATGTGCCCATATAACAAATAATGACATAACAGCCTATAGACAAGCAAACCGATCTAACGAATCATAGCAACATAATAACATAATACCGTCCTATCTATCAGGATACTGATCTAACAGATCATACTAGGATAGCATATCAGGATAACAATCCAAAGGGCCGGCCTTGGTGCCTTCGACCCTTGAGTATAGTGAGGAAAACTCACCTCACACTGCTGAAGTCCCGCGGATAAAACTCCAACTGCTGGTTGACAGATTCCCAAGCTGTCAACATTAAACAACATCCAATTAATAATTCGGTGCCAAGCCCAAGGTCCAACTCACACTCCAAAGGCCTAATAGTCAAGTAATGGGCCAATGCCCAACATATGGCCCAATTTTCCAAATTGGGCCCAGGCCTCTTCATGGTCTTTCCTTAAGGCCCATCCATAAATTCTAGTCCAAATTATTGGTATACCAACGGCCCAATATCTCATAATCATTAAGCCCAACTTATGGCCTATCTATGGCCTAATTTTCCAAATTGGGCCCAACCCCTCATACGGGCCTTATCCTAAAGCCCATCCAATTGTTTTAAGTCTATTTACTTATTCTTGGATAACCCATCAATAACCCAATCACCAAGTCCCAAAAGAAAGGCCCAAGTGAAATTAGGGTTTTCACATGAAATGACGATTAGGGTTAAGTGTTTCTTACTTAACCCAGTAAGGACTTAATCCATTAAGTCCAAGATTGCCTTAGGTTAATTGGAAATGATTATTAATTAATATCTTAGGTTTATTAAATAATTCCCGTGCGAGTCGTGATTGATCCCCAAAATTAGGGTTTTATGCCATTAGGGTTTTCCAAACCCTAATTAGGGTTTCCAACCCAATACTAGCCCATTAGTCTCATGGTAAGGCTTTTAGGTCAATTAGGGCTTCATTGGGCCCATTAGGGTTTCATTGGGCCCACTATGGTTTCATTAGTCGGGCACCACCCACTACCACCTCGAGTAGTGGTGGTCAGTGGTGGCTTACAGCGGCGGCCACCACCTCATGGTGGTGGTTATGATTGCAGTCCATTTTTGTCCAAGCGTCCCAAAAGAAACTAAACATAAGCAAAAGCACACCGCCACCCAACATGGCGGTTGGTGGTGGCAGGAGGCGACAACCACCACCTCACGGTGGTAATTACGACTTTTTCTTTTGATTATTCCGACATGATTATAATTTTACAAGTAAATTCCCAATTAACACACACACACACACACGTAAAGACACACACACACAACCACCACTATGCGGCGGCGGGTGGTGGCAGAACAAAAAAGGTGGTGGTAACCACCATGGTTGGTAGTCATGGTGGTTTTTCCATGGTTTCTGGCCAATGAGCACACCCACCCTCGTGTAGCAACACCAAAACACATGTACACAAACACGAGTTGGTCACGTAAAACACACCTATCAGCAATCTGGAGGCGGCAGGCGGTGATTTGCGACGACAGCCACCACTTCACGGTGGTGGCGATGGTTTCCCTTGATCTTCTGCCAAGCAACACGTCAACACACGCGCTCGTATCTTCAACACGTGAGTTTACACCAGAAAACGCATCCAATCTCAGCTACCTCCCCCACGGTGGCGCATGGCAGTCGGAGAAGAACACCAGCCGCAACAGCCGTCCGGAATGGCGACGGTGACCGTGCAGCGGCAGAAGAAGAAGAAGACAGTAGGGGACTAGCGGTCACTCAAGTTCACCAGGAAGGAAAGGCAGACGCTATAGTTGTTGGATAAGGTGTCTAAGTCTATAACTATTTCTAGTATGTACTTGACCCGACCCGGCATGGTCCATTTGGGTTGCATGGCACCATGCAATTGGATAGACTAAATGAGAGAAATAACACTTGTGGTTTATTAATATATTATAAGTTCTAATATATTAATAGTATTATTTAATTAGTTTGATCTTCTGCAATTGATCCTGTCATGGTTATCCAAAAAGTAGAGGAAAGAAGATAAAGGTCGCTTCCTAATCTAAATGGAAATGGAAGGCTCACCATGGAGAGTCCAGTGGATCTAAAGCAAAGCTCAAATTAAACGCTTGTCATGTTGCTGATCCAAAAGAGGTTGTGTACTTTTATTGTGGCTAAAAGGGCCATTGGAGAAAAAGATGACCTAAGTACTTGCAGGAAGTGAAAGATGCCAAGTCCAAAGCTACTGGCTCTTCTTTTGGTGCGTATTCTAATCAAGTCAACAATATTTGCATTTCAAAGTCTTGGATTCTTGATATAGGATGTGATTTCCACATTTGTTCTGATATGAAGAGACTAAAGGAAAGTGAATAGTTCGATCATGGGAATCTAAACTTGATCATGGGGAACAAGTGAAGATTGACTATTACCAGGATTGGGACTTACAAGCTTATGTTTGTTAGTATTAGGGTTGATTTGTATAATTGTTTCTATTCGCTAGAAATGGATTGACACATTATTCCTTTTCATGCTTTATTTAGACAAGGATATCGTCATGGTTTTGATAATAATGATGATACTTTTTTCAGTTTATTTTAATGGTGTATTTGTTTTCAAAGCTTATCTTGTGATGGTGTGTATAAGACTATTGTTTGTGTGAATGAATTAGGAAACAATGTGTATAGTATTGGTTCTTCTAATAGTTTAGACAAGTCATGCCTATGGAATTGTCGTCTTAGGCACATTAACAAGAAACGCATCGCCCAACTCCAAAAGGATGGATGTTGGAATCGTTTGACCTGAAACAAAAACAATGAATGTGAGTCTTGTTTAATGGGCAAGATGTCTAAATCACCTTTCACTGGTACATGTGAAAGAGTTGAGGATTTTTGGCCCTCATCCATACAGATATGTGTAGGCCATTCAGATCTGCCACGGAGGATGGGAAATCACTACTGCGTTATAGTTAGTGATGATTATAGTAGATATAGTTAATTTTCTTGATGGTTCGAGATTTAGTTATTAATTGGGTGATATTTGATGGTGCTAGCGTGTGGGGATTTCCGGATCAGCGGTCTGAGCATTGGTCTGAGATATTCAACCGCTTTAGGTGAGCTTTCCTCACTGTGTTTTCGGGTCGAAGGCACCAAGGTCAGCCCATTGGTTTGATAACCTGATATTCGTTGATATGTTGAGCGTGGAATAGATATGCTTGTTATTTTTGATATGCTAATCTTGTAGATCGGTAAGACTACCTGTGATATTATTTGTATGATTATATGTATATGTTAGTAAAATATTATGTGGGTTGGGTTGAGGTTGCACTACTCTATGCAGTAGCCAACAAACCCTGGAGCAATCCAGATATGACCTAAGGGTCGGGTACAACATGCCAGACTCATAATGAGGGCTCATGAGCATTCTAGATACAAGCTGAGGGCCGGTTAGGGCATGCTAGACTCCCATGGAGGGCTTGGTGGTATTCATT